GTTGTGCCAGTCATTGTGGTTATTAGGTTTCAGAACTGGGTTGGGTCGCTGATTAATTTTTAGTAGCTTGCACAGTATCCTCACACTCTAAGTGCTAGTCTTCAGGGAAGAGAATTCCAGGTCAGTTCCAGCTCCATTGTTCCAAGTTCTGTGTCTGAGTGGACAAAATCCATAAAATTCGGTGGCGGGGGCTATGGGGGGCTGCAGATAGGGGAAGGGGGTCTAAATTAGATTAAGAAGTATAAAGTGCACAAAAATTCAATAAAAATACATATTGTTAAACAGAAAGATGAGAAGAGGACTTGCATTTTTGTAACAAAGTGAGTAAGTTCAAAGGTTTAATGGATTTAAACATACTTTTGTTTAACATAAATATTTAGAAGGTAAAAACAAGAAAATTCTTCAAAAATATACCAACAGGACAGTCTGTTGGAGGAAACGTCTCAAACCAAGTTCCCCTTCCCAGGAGACTCTAGTTTGTATCAAGGTGACCCAACCTAACTATCACAAAATGCTTCTGAATTTAGTCTTGTGGAAAGCAATTCATTACTGTCCTCTTAATGTTGACCAGTTTACCACTTAATAGTAAATATATTTCAATCTTTTATTTAAAAGTCTGTACAAAAATAAAGTTTTCTAAAATGTCTTTAAAATGAATACATTTTTGTTATCATTAAAACCAATAACTTTAATCTATTGAAAATGACTATTTTTATTTTTGAAACCGTTTTAGATTTACTTCTTTTGTGTATGATACTTAGAGTTATAATTGAAATGTACTTCAATTATTTGAAATACATTTCAAATGCTGAGCATTTTATTTCAGCAAATTAAAGATCTGGACTCTATCTTCCTGTGAAGTGCTAACCACATCTCTGAGACACTATGGTGAAAGTGAGACTGAGCCATATTGTATGCATGGTCTCTAGGTAAGCTTTCAAAAATAACCAAACACTGTAGCTAACAATAACCCCTTCTTTGCCCTAAGCTACATGATTTGGGTGTTTTAGTATGATCATCCATTACAAGTTCCACACCCAGTCAATGCTAAGAACTGAAATCATGGCATCAGTGGGTAAGCAATCTTTATCTTCCTGGAGCTGCATCCTACCAAGATCAACTGGAGTGATGCTGGGTACTTGTACCATGAAATTCACTGGTTTCTTCACTACCATAGAGAAACCAGTGGTTTGGTTAAAGGGTGAAATCAAAAGGGTTATCATTTTGGCCCCTTTCTTCAGATGCTTCCATGTTGGAGAGCAGTATAAACAATGAGAAAACAGCTCCCTAAAATGATTAGCAATGCCTCTTGTATGGCCAATTGCTTATTCCATTTGGCCAAGGTCATCTATGAGACAATGTGGCACCTTGGAGGGCTTCATAACCACAACTCATGCCATCAATACCACCCAGACAGCACCTGTGGGAAGCTGCTGCATGCAGCAAGGCAAGCATGCTGGCCTTGGGGATGCCCAGAATATTATCTCTATGCACACTGCTGTGCAATGACTGGGAGAAAGTTCATCCCAGTGCTAAAATGATGCTCAGAGGACCACACTGAGGATCAAGTTGTCATCAGTGATATTATTCTTCTGCTTTGTCTGCTTCTGTCTGTATTAGCTACTTTTCTATTGCTGTGATAAAAGTACCATGACCAAGGTCACTTATAGAAGAGTCTATTGGGCTTACATTTCCAGAATGATAAGAGTCCATGATGGTGGAGAACCAAATCAAGAGGCAGTCAAAGGAGAAAGCTAAGTGTTCACATCTTTAAGAAGGTACAGGAAGCAGAGTGAGGAAAATTTGAATTGAGATGTGGCTATGAACTCTCAATGCCTGCTCCAAGTGATGGCTTCCTCCAGCAAGGCTGTGCTTCCTAACTCTCCATATAAACAGTGCAACCAACTGGAACCAAGTATTCAAATATTTGGAGCTTATGGGGACCACTTACTCAAACCACCACAGATGCTGAGATGGGCATTGTCCTCAATGGCCACTTTGTCCAGCTCTTCTCCTAGTGTGATAATGAATTTGACTACAGCAGAGGTGTGGTAGACTCTAAGATCCTCATGACCTCTAAGGTGTAAGTGCTCTACCCACCACTGCAAGAGCATGAGAGGAAGAGACACTCATGGCCACTGAGAAGTTAGCTCCCAAAGTCAGTATCCAAACAGAGGCTCTTTCCTTGTAGTTTTCATCCCAACCCTCCCCCACCTCAAAAGGAAAGGAGGTTCGGGAGACCTACATACACATATCACAAATAAAGATCACAGAAATCCCAAAAGATCAAAGATATAAGCTACAGATATGTGTCCTACAGTGTTTCTCAGAGTTTACATGGAGAAAGTCATTAAATATCCATGATTAAATTGGTTATTTTAATGAGAATATATATATACACATATGTCTACTTATGTATTGCATTTACGATTACATTTTAACATAGCTGAAGGGAGTGTGGCTTTTTTGTGTTGGTCTCCTCCCTGCTGGCGCCTTGGTATTGCCAGGGAGCCACTGGGCATCCGTCTAGGTCATGGAGGGTTGTGAAAGGGGGAAGACGGGAGGTGGAAAGGAAGATCTTGGGCACTTGCGCATACGATGGGGAAGGAACACCCAGGAGACTGTGTCAGCAGACAGCTCATTTTAATAAGGCAAAACAGAAGTTTTCATAGGGAAGTTTTTATAAGGAAGTTTTGCCGGCAAAGAGGCGGGATTGAGTTTTTGGCCCGCAGGCAGGTAGAAGGGAGGGGATTTCCCAAAGCTAAGAGGTGGTGTCTGCTCATGGTACTTTCCGTCCTGTTGTCTGGTCACATGATTTACAAGAGCCCTGATTAGGGTTGGGGAAATGGAAGCTTAGCCTAGAGGCAGTTGGGTAAGAGATAATGGGATAGCTGGCAAGTCTGGAATGGAATGGGCCAGAATCCAGGGTTATGCGGCCCTGCTCTACATTCTGATCATTTCTGCCTGTATTCCAACATTTTTGAGGCAGGGTCTCCCTATAGCTCCTGCTGGTCTGGAACTCACTATGTAGACCAGGCTGGCCTTCAAGTCGCAGGGATGCATCTATCTCTGCCTCCAAAGTGCTGGGATTACAGTTATAATACATTGTCTTCCAAACAAGGGGCTATGTTCCTTGTATGAATGCCATTATCATGAACTCAGAGACATTTCTAATCTAGGGTTTCAAATAGTACATGGACTGAGAAAGTTAAGCGGTGGCTAAGTTGACCTACATTTTAAAATGTGAGGAACTAGGACCAGTGAACCCTGGAGCTTGTAATCTCAGCACTTGGGAGGCTGAAGCAGATGGAGTACCACAAGTCTGAGGCCACCCTGGAACACACAGCAAGTACTAAGCAGGCCAGGGGTACATAGCAAGACTGTCTCAAAACAACAACAGCACCAGCAGCAACAACAACAGGAGAATACCTTTCTGAGGCAAGGCTTTCTAGGCTGAATGGGTATGAAATAAATGTGTACTGGGACTTTGGTTGGAAGTGCCTTTGGGCCTACCTTTCCTTAAACGGGCTTCATTCTTTGCTGCTCACCCATGTGAATTCGCCTGAATGCACCTCTACCCAGCAATATCTTCTGAGTCTGTTTCCTGTGTGTGATATACTGTTTATCATTCTTCATTATGTAAACTGTGTTTTCTTCTTAACATGGATGAGTCCATGTTTAAACATTTTTATTTTAAATCCATGTTTTTTTTTTTTCTGTAAAGTGGTTAGCAGTTTGGAGTAAACTTATACTCCAAGAAAGAATAAGATAACTGCATTTTCTTTTGATCATTTCAGCAGCTCTTGGAGACTAACAAAGCAGGGAAATAGGATCTTCTTCACCACCTACACCATGGCCATTTCAGTATTCGGCTCTTTGGCTGTACTGTGTGTGCTGTGCTTAGCAACTTGTACATTTTTGGACATCTTTTTTTTTTTTTATGAAGCATAACAAAGTACATGCAAGCACAGGTACACACTGCAGCTGGAATTTCAGAATACAAATATTAGCTTTGACATCAATTAGGAACAAGAGACTAAAAGAAGTCATTACCCTTTTGCAACTTATTTTATTCATCTACAAATGAGGGGAAGTGATTATTTCACACCATTTTTTGAGACTTAAATAATTTATACTCAGGAATTAGAAAATTAATTGAAATAAAAGGGGAACATGTGAGTTTGTTTTTTTTGTTGTTGTTGTCTTTTTTTTAGACAGGGTCTCCCTGTAGCCCCTGCTGTCCTAGAACTGTGTAGAACAGGCCGGCCTTGAACTCACAGAGATCCACCTGCCTCTGCCTCCTAAGTGCTGGGATTAAAGGCGTGCGCCATTTTTAATGCACACACAATGTGAACACTGCTTGTATTAAAGAACCAGATATCAGAATGCAGTGCATGTGAAATGAAAGTTAAATGACGGTAGCATGCTTTGTTTCTTATATTTTTGATATCTGCAATCTTTAAATTGTCCTCCATTTTCGAATATGACCCTAGTAAATGTCGTGCATGAAATAATAGCTAAAACATGATCTTTTTCTGTTTCTTACCTATAACACAGGATCATATAGCACTCTTTAAATATTTCAAATGTTAAAATCAGGTCTTTCATTGAATTTGGATTCTCTAGAAGAACAGTATCAATAGAATGAATATTAGATTGGCTTACAGGATACAGATTGGATAGTGTAACAATCCAATAATACCTTCACATTGAAGAGGCAGCAAACTGGGAAACTGTTCCTTCCTTGAAGCAGGATGTCTAAGAAGTCCCAGTCTGGTCCTGAAAGCCTGGAAATGATCTGACCTTCAGTCCATGTTGGAAACATATAGAAAGTAGGTTCTGATATGAGCAAACAATGTACCAGCAGGGACAACAGTGCTAGTGGCAGCAGCAACAGGACAGATGAATTTGCCAGCAAGATTCAAAGACAATGAGGCAATACAAAGGTTTTCCCTAGGACCTCCATTTCATCTGGGTGGCTGCTAAAAGATGCTGCTCACCTTTATGGAGGGTCTTCTTTCTTCAAATAACCTGATCCAGAAAATCTTTCACAGGTGTGCCCAGAAGCTTCTCTTTTAGTTAATTCCAGATCCAGTCAAGTTGACAACCAAGATGAACCAGCAGAGTCACATACTCCTGCTTTTCCTCCTCCTCCTCCTCATTCTCAGGAAAACAGTGGTAGTGAGCTTACAGGAGAGAAAGAAAATTGCCTGCTTGAAAATGTAAGAGCTTAGCCTCTGCTTTTCCTCCAGCCACCTCTGCCACCTTGCTTCCCCGCCACTATGGACTCTTGCCCCTTGGAACTATAAACTAAAAAAACTCTTCCTTCCAAAAAAGAAAAACAAGAGAAAGAAAGAAAAGAAAAAGTGAATCTAATACAAGTAGATAAAAAAAAACTACATGCATTCTATATTCACTACGAAAATATACTCCTTGAAATGAATCTAATACAAGTAGATAAAAAAAACTACATGCATTCTATATTCACTAAGAAAATATACTTTGTAGTCCTTGAAATTAGAAAGAATTCTTATTTTTGACATTTCCAAATTAAAACTTGCTCTAAATGTATGGGCTATCACCTACATATTTTTAGCATAGATGAATTGGACTTCTGTTCAAGATTTTTCCAATTATCGAATGCATTTGAATTTAGAGCAAACTTTTTGTTCTACTGCTGTTCATGCCAATGTTTATGTGCATCTCTGAGACCTCATCTTGTCTTATGAATGCCAAGGAAATTTGGATTGTGGTTGTTTTTTGATAACTTCTTTGGTAAACACTGTATAATTTTGAAATTATTAACTTTAATTTGTTTTTATGTTGATGTATATGCTATGCCACTCAACGTACTTTGTTGATTGTGTGTACTTCACTTTGTTTCTTAAAACAAATAATATTAAAAAATGAATTGGGCAAAACCTAATGTATCTCTCTGAGGTTTACCTTTAGTTATATTCTGAATCCTTGCAAATCCCTGTGGTTAAAATTCCTTGGGATTAAGTGTACACTAGTCTGAAGAAAGTGTGATTATCTTACCCCCTCATAACAAGTACAAGCATGTCATGTAAATGCTTTTCTCTCCATAGTCAGCAATGTAAGACCTACAAGTTTTTTAGATTTGTTTTTAGATAATAAAGACTGGAAAGTGGCTGTTGTGATTTTACTAAAATATTCAGTGCAACCATCACTATTGATATCAAAATGTATCATTTATAATTGATGTTTAAAACTGTTAACATTTGGTTGCAGAAAACATTCCAATACACAGAAGGACCCAGACTTAATCCACTTATCATACAAGTAGCACATTAGAAACAATGAGAGTGCAGACTTGCCGTTTAGTTATTAATTCTTATTGAAAACATAGTATATTTCCACCTTGAAAGCACAATCCTAGAGAAAATAACTAGATTAAAGGAACAAATTATAATCTACAGAGCCCACTCAGGTGTATTTTCTCAAGTAGTGCTGAATAGAGTATGTAGGAAAGTATCAATGTCACAGACACAACGTTAGGCCTGAGCTTAATTTAGTATCCACCTTTATAGGTCCTCTTAGAATTATTTAGCCTTACACTTTGTAGTTACCTTAAAATTTGTGTTCTCTTGATGAGGTGGCATGAGTAATGGACATGACTCAGAAAAAGAAAATATATTCAGTATGAAAACTAGTGCCAAATCGTGTTTTAAATATCAGTAAGTATTAAAAGTAATTTAACAGTTCTTTAGCTGGGAGATGCAAATTGAATTACATCTTAAAGGAAAAAATAATTTGGATAATTTAGGATACATTATTTGACAAAAATCACTTACTCTGATTTTGAATAGTGGACTATAAGAGGTATGCGCCACCTTCTGTGTTAGTTAATTTTCCTCTTTCTGGAATAAAATACCCAACAGAAGCAATTTAAGGGAAGATTTGTATAAACTGATGGCTTCCAATGTCACAGTCTATCAACAGAGGGAAAGACATAGCAGAGCAGTTTAGTCCCTTGAGACAAGAGTATGTGGCATCCTCTTAACGTAGTGCACACAGAAGGGTGCTGTAGCTTGAACTAAAGTAGATAGAACCTTCCATTGTCCCCCCTCATTTCCAGTGATTTGCTTCTGTCAATCAAGTCCCCACAGACTGAAGCCTCCACTGCCTTCAAAATAGTTCCATAAGTTACAGAATCATTGTTCAAATTATTGATCTGTTCAGAATATCCTAACACAACACATCCCACCCAATGTCTCCATAGGCTTGTGCTCATCTCATAATGCAAAATTCATTCATTCCTATTTCAAGATTCTCAATAATCTTGTCAGTCACAGCAAGTTCAAAATTCCTGCTCACATGAGATCCAAAACAAGGGTCCATCTAAAATCAAAACTAATGTTCTGTACTTTCAATAAACAATACACAGAATAAACATTCCTATCCCAAAATGGAGGAACAGGAGACTAGTAAGAACTGACTAGAAGGATAAACACAGCACAGCAACTTTATGTAGCTCTGCACTTGGCATCTGGAGCCTGTGATATTACAATGCGAACTCCAATAGACTTGAGCAGCTCTGCTTTAAGGCCTTGCTTTTTGCAGTCCACTATTTTCTTTCCTGGGTTGGCTCCTCTTGTGACTTTCCTCAGCAGAAGCTTCAGTACTCCTGGCATCTCCAACAATCCAGTGTCTTCTGAGGCTGAGGTTTCATTCTCACAGTTTCACATGGTACCCTTTCAGGGTCTCCCTCCGTGATTCCATCCCTCTTAAACATTGCTTGCCCTCATCTCAGGCCATATATTAAAATATGTGTGGAAGTTTCCAGGAACCTATAACTCTTGAATTCTTCATGGTTGCAAAAACAACACTATATTGATGGGTGCCAAAGTATGTTAGGAGCTTAAGCAATATCAAGGGCCTCTTGGGCCATCCCAGGAGCTGCCTCTGAGTGTCTAAGTGGGTACACCAGCTAAACCAATTCTCTAGATATTTCTGTGCAAGCAGGGTGCTCTCATGCTCTATCTTCTCAAGGGGAAGTGTTTTGAAAAGGGTTCTGGTTTTATATTGTGGAACTGGTGATGAGTGAGGTCTCACCAATTCCTGAAGCCCTCATAAATTTATAGTTCTTATATGGGGTTAAATGCCTGAATTCTCTTTTTAAAACTATAAGCACAGCCATTTTCTAGTCAAATTTCAGGTTTTTAGCTATGAGCTTGGGTTTTCACTGTATGCCTAGTTAAAAACAAGCCAGAAATAACCATGCCATAGCCTGAATGTTATGCTGTTTCAGTTTATTCTACTAGTGTATCATTCCATTTATTTGTAATTCATGGTTTCAGGATATGGACATGTAGCCAGATTCTTTACAAGAATGTAGCATGAATGACCTCCAGTCCAGTTACCAATATAGTTATGATTCCACCCTGAAATCTCATGAGCACAGCCTTTTAAATAGACGTTTCTGCCAATATCCCATTCTTCTTACCTCCCACCAGAATATCCAGTCATTCTTTGCTTCTGTTATTTTTGAGTTTCTCTATTCTGCTTGTCCAAATTTCTAAATTCCTCCCACAAACAAGTTCCAAAGAATCATACAGTCATGTTTAGCCATCACAAAAACACCACTCTCAGGTGCAAATTTTCTGTATTTGATTTTGTTTCTATGACAGAATTCTTGACACACACAAGCAAAAGGAAAAAAAGGTTTATTTGGCAGAAGACAAAGGAGAGTGGCTGGGTCCACAAAAATGGAAGCCCAAGACAGGAACTCCTCACATGACAGAGAGTCTCCTCACATAGACCAGAAAGCAGAGTTACTTGCCAGAACAAGTTGGTTTTCCCTTCAAAGCCCTTCCACATGACCTGTTTCTGCCAGCTGGTCTTTACCTCCTAAACACTACACAGCCTTCAAAAGAGAGTCACAAACTGGAGATCAAGTGCCTAAACATGAATGATACTTCAAATTCAAACCATAACATCTTAACATGCAATTGTAAAAAATTTTCATATATACTGATAAGTGTTGGTGCTTGTGTTTATTTTCATAAGCTTGCATGTGTGTAAACAAACACAACTTACTACAACTTTTATACAAAATTTGCTTCCAAATATAGAGCCAAAAGTTACAAAAATTATTATTATTTATGTCATCCAAGCACTGGCTTTCATTTTCAGTGAAATTTCAATAGGAGAGTTTGGCTTGATTATAGAAACACAGTTCAGTATCAAAAAGAAGAATATCTTTTAAAAAGAAATTGTGTCTTCTGGAAAAAATGTAGACTCAAGAATGTAGAAAATGAATTAAATATTTGAAGCAGGATAGCAGTTGAAGAAAAAATTATGTATAAATTTGAATGAATATAACCTTAGGAATAAAGGAAGTATTCTAATCTGATTGAAATCTCCAGTAAATGAGCCAAAAGTTGGCCAGAAGTCAGGGAGAGAGACACTGTTTTAATAATTTAGGATTAAAGAAAATAGAGTCCGGGACTTTAGACGGACTGGTGATTAAAGATATAAGTTCTATGATGAGGACGTCACCCATAAAGGACAACTCTAAAATTTGCATTAAAATCGTTTAAAATTTTTTAATGCAGTCTGGGTCATAGTTGTAAAAAGGAAACAAAACATCTCAGCAGAGTAACCACTGAAAGCAGAAAGGAACTGAACTAAGGGAAAGACACAGCATGGAACATCAAACCCTGAACATTGTAAGGGGTTTTGTTACACACATAAGCCATCAATTACAGGACAGAATAACTACACATTGACATCATGGATAAACTGACTAATGAAGCTATTCAAGGCAAGAAGAAATTATTTTAAATTTATTTAAAATATCATCCAGTTATTCAGTTTTATTTTGGACCAAAGCAAACCTGTTTCTGTTGAAACTAGCAGAATTCAGAACCACTATAATGCATTCTGTATCCACCTTGCCAGTTCATTGTGAAAAGTAACTACATTGAAGTAAAAGAAAATTTAACAAGTCAGGAGAGACAAAATGATGTTAGAATAAGCAGAAAACAACTTTCAAACCTGTGGTAGTCAGAAATCAAGAACTGTTCATAAAAGTTTCCTGTTCTGATTCCCGGGTTTGATATAATACAAAGGGATATCACACTGTTGTGTAACACTGTAAAAGGAACTTAGCCAATGCAACTAAAGTTCAGAGTTCTAGTTAATTTTGTGTCAAACAGGTGTA